TTGACCTGAGTCCCCCACAGCTCAACATAACAACATGGCTTTACTTCCTATATTTCGTCTTCATACTTTTCTACGGGATGGTTAAGACCAAGGTAAAGCAGGACCTGTGCAACAAGAGTTGTAGCTTTTTGGTCTGAGAAGGTCAGGGAAATGCCCTCAGGATTTATCCTGAAATCCTGTACCTCAGTGTATTAATATTTCATAAGACACAAATTCTGTTAAGGCTATTCTTTAATTAAATGATATCAATTCACTCTCTGTGTACTGGGAACTGTGCTTCTCAAGATGGCGCACACAGGGAAACAATACTCCCAAACTCATCCCTGGAAGCAAGCATTACCCTGACACCAAAACCAGAGAAGGACCTAGCTAAAAACGAGAACTTCAGGCCAATCTCCCTAGTGAACATAGATGCAAAACTCCTTGATAGGAAAGTGGCAAACAGGATGCAGCAAATCATCAGGAAGAGTATACACCATGGTCAAGTTTGATTCACCTCAGGGATGTAGACATGGTTCAACGGACATAGATCAATGAAGGTAACACACTGTGATAACAAAGCCAAGGGCAAAAATCCCATGATCATCTCAACAGATGCCGAAAAAGCATGTGATAAAGTCCGATGCCCGTTCATGATAAAAACCCTACAGAAAACTGGAATAGATGGTTTTTTTTTTTAATCTCAATCTGATAAAAGCTGTGTATGACAAAGCAATGGTGCACACAAATGTAACCTTTGAGATCAGAGAGGGAAGAGGACATTGGGGTACATCAGCAAGCACAGTGATCCATAGGCTAAACGCTGCATCTTAAAAAAATCTTCTATGTATGCATATATGTATTTGGTACAGGGTCTCACTATGCAGCTCAGACTCATAGTGTTGCTGCTGTTTTCAGCCTCCCTAGTGCTGGGATTACAGGCATGCACCACCATGCCTGGTCTCAGAGGCTGGCATGGTGCACCTGGGGTTCCAGGGCCAGCAGGACATGTGATGCCAGGGATCAAACCTGACACCTTGTGCTTGCCAGGCAGGCACTTAGACTGCCAAACTGTTTCCCCAGCCCACATGCTGTGTCCTTTGAGGCCATCAATTTGACTTGAAATTTGGAGGTGGGATAGATTATTATTTTTTTTTCTTTTCAAAGTTTTATTGATAAACATATAGCAATGAGACAGTTTCAAATCAAATCGGGGATAGATTATTAAACTGAAAATAGACGTTTTATTAGGGTGATATACAAAATTCACATGAAAATTTGGTAGAAAAATAACACTTCAAAGAAAATTTACAAGGTCAGTATCTCACTTGGATCTCTGGTCTCTTCTAGGTACGTGCTGTTTGCCTAGCTGACGGGGCAGGGCCCACAAACACAGCAGAGAGACTGGTGGTCTCTCATCAGGGCTTTTGGCTAGGATCCTGGAGGGCTATACTTGGTACGAAGGTTTCAGAAGAATAGCTACCATAAAAGCCAGCCTCTGGGTAGAAAGTAGGCACTCCGTGAGTGATATGACGTGAAAGTATAAATTTTTGATTCCTATCTTTAAGAACCCACTTGATACAAACCATCATCCTTATCTGATTGCATTAACCTGACAGCACCCTTTCCCTGAAATCTGACCCAAGCTGCTATCCGAGGTTCCAGGTGCTTAGTGTTTTGCCTGTTCTGTGCCTACTGCCCCACCTAATCAAATCCTCTTTGTACTCCCGTACTTGGCTGTTCAGCACCTGTCATCCCCGGAGGTCTGTCTCTAATGTCACAGTTCCCTAAGCATCCTAAATTGTCTGCATTATCTGTTTGATGTTAAAATACACACTGTTTTGCCCATTGTCCTTGAAATGTTTCCTGGGTACATATTACCTTCCTAGCCACATTTCAAGTTCTTGCAGTATAAAAGATAAGTCTTACCTTTGGGCTTTACCACCCAGAGTTGTTTAAAATAATAAACATACCATGGATACTAGAATATCATGCTGAATTGTGGTTTGGTCAGTGGTTCTCAATTGGGAGGCATTTTTTTTTTCTCCACAAGGATATTTCACAATGCCTGGAGATATTTTTAGCCATCACAACAGAATGTTTGCTACTGGCAGGGATGCTGTTAAATAACTCCTGGTGCCTAGAATAGCCCCTCTCCTAAACAAAAAATGTGGGCCAAAATTCAATAGTACGATATCCCCTAATTTGTTTCTGTTTCTTTTTCCCCCTCCTCTTCCTTCCCCCCTCCTCCTCCTTCCTCCTCC